ATTAATGTACCCAAGAAGCCTATGACAACATGTCTTCCAAATACGACTTCATCAAGTTATCTGTTCGGGTGATGAGCGTTCGTATTCAAAACTACAACCTGCATTGAATCATTAGTGTGAGCTTACACAATCCCCCAAAGCAAATAAAAAACCTTGTAATCTTAGATCCCGTATCATTGACTTACCTGTCGACGAGAAAAGCAGGCCAACTGTGCAGCGCCGCTTTCAAAAGTCTTTCTCCTCTCATTAGGCTATTTCCACCTGGGGAAAAGCTACCCGATGTTGACCTGCCGTTTTCTGAATCTGCCGGGTCCCACGTTGCCTTTTTTAATTCCCCCTTCCCTTTTTTTTTTTCTTTTTTTTTTTTTTTTTTTTTTTTTTTCTTTTTTTCCCTTTCTTCCCCACGATACATTCCTTTGTCGCTCGTGGCTTGGCATAAGTATCGATCGCTCCATTATAAACAAGTGGCAGTGCAGCCCTTTCAAATGTGCCAGGGCAGTGACAGCCGCCTCTTCACTGATCTCCCTTGCTCGTTATAGCTGGTTTGCAGTCCACGTGACGCTGGCCTCTTGAACCGAAAACGCGTTGTTAGCTAAGAAAAGGAGGCCTAGTGCTGTTTCCCTCTCGGCGATTGTAGTTTTTCAAAATGGCGGAAGCGACATGGAGCTCCCATGGATTTGCCATGCCAGTGTATATACAGATAAGAAATTCTTCCCGGGCTTACGAGGAATACAGTGCAGATCATTGGCAGAGGTAATTTGACCAACCAATGAGGACAAGCATTTATGAATGAAGACATTGACTTTTAGCAAATAAAAAGTTAAAACTAGCTACACATTGTCCCTTTAAGTAAAATCCAGGGAATATTGGCAGCAAATGTACTTGGCAAGTATCCAAGAGTACTGCGCTCTATTTGAAAAGTGTCCTGAGATAACTTCTGTTATGAATTGGCGCTATACAAATAAAACTGAATTGAATTGAATATATTTACCTCTTCAGGCCTCCTTCAAATCCTTCAAATTAAACATTCTGAGAGACAAAATCATTCTCTTTCCCAAACTAAGGCCAGAATCTGTGAGGAGGGTGACAGCTACTGACTTAAACAAAGCAGTTTGGGTGTCTTGACAGCTTGTGACCTGCAGGGGGTGCTATAAGACAGCAGCTCTGCACTCAGACACAGTGGATGAGGTGTGGTTCAGTCACACAGAGGTCTGTTTAATCCAATATTTCTTATCTAGGTGCGACATGAACTTGGAGCTGAGTTTTAAGTCACCTTGTGCATGAGCACTGAGTGGAGCTAAATCCAGGTTGTAAAGCCTGTCATGTTCTGTTCGGGCTGGAATAACTACAAAAATACCATAAATTGAATCATAAATATAATACTCACTATAAAAATGACATCACTGAGCCAAAGCTGTTCTGTTCACTGAACACCCCCATTTAAACTCATTGAGAACCCCAACGAGACTTACAAATAAACTGTGGCTTCCTTTTGTTTGTTAAGTCCCTAATCTAAGGAAAAACTGCCTCTAAGTGATGCAGACAGCATACTGTATATCAGTCTCATCACTGATGCTAGCACTGTATTAGCAGTTTAACACAGTACAATGTGCCTATGGAAGCCCAGTGTTCTCTGACAGCGACACTGAACGTACATTTAATCTGCCTCTAAATCCCACACTCACCCAGGCTCAGAGCTCTCTGCGCCTTGACCCGACCTTATATCTACATTGTATCTGCTTAGGCTAAACTACATTAGCTGGCCTAACTGTCTGGGTTGGCAGTTTCATCCAGTGCCATGGCCCGCCCAGCAGTCCAGCTGTCCTCCCTACTTATCAGGCTCCACTAGTCTTACTAATAGCCACTAATTGACAACCCCTGTGGTATTGGGAACTTTTTCATGCATGAATCCTCAGTGCTTAACTGTTTTTTTTTTTTTAACCTTTTTAATACACTTGCACTAAATAACACACTGATTTAATTTAGAGTCATTAAGAACTGAACTGGCGGGTGCTTGGCTGGGAAATTGACTTACACTGGAAGTCGGTGGGGCCCGGGCCGGGCAGGGGTGCCCCAAGCTGGGGGCCGGGCCCCTGTGTGGGGGTTTGATGGAGGCCGCAGTGGCATGTGGCAGGATGGTCAGAGAAAAAGACCAGAAAGGAAGATGTGAAGAAGAGGAGCAGGTATGCAGCCACCAGTGCCCACAGGATATAATGGCAGCACTCCTCACCACTGGGCCAAACGCTGGGAGAGTACCAGCAGGAAGAGGAGGAGGATGAGGATGAGGAGGAAGAAGACGAAGAGGAGAAGGAGGGGGAGAGCAGGGAGGAGGGCCTCCGAGAAGTGGAGTGGTCTGAGTGGTCTAAGTGCTTAAGGTGGTAGATTTGGGGATTGGAGGAGGGAGAGTGTGCTGAGATGAAACAGGAAGACAACAGAATGGATGGAAGGAAGGAAATGTGGATGGCTCAGTGTATGGAGCGGGAAAACATAAAATGGAGAAAAGGAAAACATGAAATGAAGAATAAATAAAAAAAACATGCAGGAAATGACAGTTTGTTCAAAGCCCTCAATTCCTCCACCAGCTGAGAACTAATCAGATTGGACAGAGCGTGTTCAGGGCTGTCCATATTCAGATGGTGATGCAGGAGCGTGAGCATCACAGGTAACAACTAAAGACAGAGTTGCATGAGAAGATCAATATCAATATCATCTCTGTCCCTGTGTGTACACACGTAGGTCTAAAGGTATGTGATGCATTGCAAAAGCTCAAAGACTCAACTTCACTCAACTTTAAAGGAGACACACATGGTAATGTTGGGCTACATTAACTACCACCATTAAGGCAGTATTAACTGACTGCCGTTTGGCCACTCAGGGAAAAAGAAGCAACCAATATCTACATATAACAATGTAAAGTTGTTATGGCCTGCACTAGCAAACAACACAATTAGACATCCAGCAGACACAGAGCAACACTAGCATTCATGTGGACTCGTATATCTAGTCCAAGTCCAATATTCACCCTCTTTTTAGCTCTTCCTTCTGAGAAAAATATCTCTTTCTTGAGCTGCTAAATGGTCCACGATGTTCACTAAGGCTGCAACCCAAATTTCTTTTCATCGACCCCAAGGTGCGTCCTCAAATGTCTTGATTTGTCCACAACCCAGTGAATCTGGACACTTTTGTTAAGAAATGAGTAAACAATTAATTGGTTAACAAAATATTTGGTGATTACCGTAATTTCCGGACTATAAGCCGCTACTTTTTTCACCCGCTTTGAACCCTGTGGTTTAAACAATGATGCGGCTAATCTATAGATTTTTACGGGCTAACGGCCTCCAGGGGGCGCTC